GAAGATTTACAGGCCTCATATAAAAAGAGAAAAAGAGACAATAAGACGAAGGCGCTCACCATCATGATGATGATGCAGAAGTAGCAGAAAAGCTTCAGGGGCGGAATGTTAAACGCATACTTACATGTTACATTGGAATGATGTTCATACGGATGCCCTAAAATGAGATGACCTCAGAGAATTTTTATAAATACAGAGTACAGAAACATGCGAGGAACTCCTACCGGGAAAACGAAGGGAATATGTACTTCCAGAGACAAGAACAGGAATTAAGTGAAATAGTTAAGAAATTAAGAAGATAATCAACCCCACTCTTGGGGACAATGGCAATTCGTAGCACATGCAGAGACGCAACTGACTGATTGTGCCTCATCAGGTGAGGAACATATCTGAGGGCCGCCAAATATTCTATCTACGATTCTATGCCCCATTTGTCCTGAATGTGGGGGTACAAAAATTTTCCGTAACCTACAATGGAGAAGAAATGTACAAATGGAAAATGCAGAATTTCCTATTTGTAATAATCCTCCTTGAAGGTTCCTGATAGTCCATTTATTTGTTCTCTTAAATACTCGTTATACATAAGAGCCTACACACATACGGAACAGGTGGGAAAAGATTACTGTTCATTTGTTCTACTTAATGATAAACATGGCATATGGGATTCTGTATTTCCCCGGCACGGACAAAATGGTGCCGCACCGTTCTATCAGACACACAAAAAGGGGGAATTTATAAAAAATGCTGACGCGCATCCCCACGCTTCTCTACGAAACGGGGCACTACTCACTCAAAGCAGCGCAGTAGAAATCACACATTGATAAAATATCCTTAGAGAGAAAATCATACGCTAACAGTAAGAAACGAAGAAAAAAACAAGCAAACATAACTACCACAGCATTCTCAGAGTCTGGGTCTTCCACTATTTACATATGAGATCAATCTGCCGTAGAGTTGTAATTACAAAAACTCCTGTCGTTCATTTACGGACGTAAATAAGAGTTATTCCCTTTTTTGAACATATATATTGTTCCAATGAGAGAACAATTAATGTATGGGTTACTGAAAGAGTCGAGGGCACTCCTAGTAGGATGGAAAAAGAGAAAACATTCTGGTTATATCTTTGCGAAACGGGATTCATGAAATTTGACACGCAAGGGGAACATTTAGAAATATCGTGTGCCCCGAATAGACCTCCTTTTGCCTAAATAGTGATCATCATATAATCCATCAGGTAAGATACCACCGTTTTTGTCGACGTCCTTGCTTCATTCTACCAGCATATATATTATGGTAATCCCTGTATTATATCGAAATGTGTGAAATCACAAGGTGACTTTCACTTCTGATTCCTCTTATGATTTGTGTCAGATGTAATGGAATATTGGTATGTACGTGAAAACTCACCTTTTCACTTTCGTATTATAATCGTTTAAAAGGTTATTTTGTTCAGTGAGGTGTCGCCTTCGTTCTTTTCGGATTTGGAATCTTTTATATTTTGAACTGGCTCCGTCATATTGTCTGCTTCATATATTCGTTGCACACTGACACATAGTGTACTAGACAGGTAAACAGGATCTCGTCATTCCTTATTACCAGAATCTGCTGGATTCTGTCATGGAGAAATTCGTCACTTGTTTTTAGATATATATATTATTCCACCTGATGGTGTCCTTTTCATTTTTTCCTCTTTTTTCTATATTTTTTTTTATTGTCTCTCCTTTTTTTCACTTTTTTCTTTTCCTTCTGCATTTCTCTTGCTTCTTTTGCATTTTCTTTTTCTTTCCTCTGAATTTCTCCTTTTCTCTTTCGCATTTCTTTCTTTTCTTTTGCATTTTTTTTTTTATGAATTTTTTTCCTTCTGCTCTGGCTTTTTCTCTCTCTTCCTTTTTTTTTTTTTTTTTAAATTTTTAACTAAGGAAACCTTTCTAATTCTACTGCTTCTATCTCTATTTTAAAGTGTGCACACTCTTCCATAAAGGAGCCTCTTCGTTGAGTCGCTATTGGATTCTACAGTGAAGTTTGTTAACTAGTGAACACTTTGCATGTTTATCGCGTCCGAGTAGATTAAAATAAGGGAAATGTGTGACGTGAGCGTTTTTTTTTTTAAAGGTAATATTTATTCATGCTATACACACCATGCCACTCCTGTTTCAGCATTATTTAGGTGTAAAAGAATGTTAATCCATTAGTATTTCTAATGAGCAGGGGCGATTCTAGAAGTTTTTTTTTTTCAATCACCCTTAAAGAGATATATCCAGGGACGGATGTAATTACAGGTTTAAGAAATATATGCTTCGATTCAGAGAAATATTGGTTCGGCCTATTTAAACATACAGCTCATTTACAGAACAAAATGAACCGTCTGATTTGTCAAGAGACATTAAAACGAATTCGGGCGAACTGCAGAAACATTACTGCCATAATTTCTCGTGTCCGTCTCGGGTACGACATGAGGCCTCCGCGAGGACGAATACACTTATATTCTAAAAATGCGATAACACTTTTCTGACACTTGCATTGAATGCTCAATCCATGCCATTAGGACTCATTATACCTATTTTATCCATAATGCAAATTTTATCATTTGGAAACAGATAATCTACTTCAACTATTAATATATACATCAAGTTCCTTTTTTCAGTTCAATGCGGCCATATAATAGGAAACAATACCTATGTCAAGACGTCTCCCTCTAGACGATTCAAGAACGGAGTTAGAGCACAGAGGATGGAACTTCTCCCTTTTTTCAAGGAAAGTCTTCCCCTTTTAACATGTGTCATGTTAACGTGAAAATTAGAGTGTCAGGAAAATAGCCCGTAATGCACAGCTAAAAAAAGGAGAAATGTCCTAACCATAAGACTATGCTTTCAAACTATTTAGCTAAGAGTTTAAAATGACCATAGAAAAGAAGGAACTATATAATAACGTGATCTACATGAGTCAATATCAGAGAAGAAAAGAAACAAAAGAGGAGGCCAAGTTACACACAATCTCACCCCGGGGTGACCAGAGATTTGCGTTATCGATCATACACCCGCGGCAGTACCAGATGGATGTATATTCCTTCAGAGATAAAACATATCCATTCCATGTCTTAGAAAGAAGCAAGGTTTATACTAATGAACCCACAGCCGCTCCTCACTCCAGGTGCCCTCCTCTCGCCCCTGGTTTCCTACCGACTCTTCACGTCAAACTCATAATGCAATCCACGATTTCCTTCCAGACCTTCCCATTTTTGAGGTTCCAAATAACAGAACACTTTATAACCTGCAGTCTGTGCACCTCTTTATCGTTTATATGAAGGTGCTCCTAAAAGCATGACGATACAGAATAGCTGCATAGAATAACCTCCTTAGAATGAATGATCAAGACAAGAATATATTGGTGCACGTTGTCTCCTGTTTCAGTTCTTAATGTTTTTTGAGAGCTCAAAATGGAATTTGCACGTGATCACCTCCTTAGGTGGAATTTTACCATACAGAGCAAGATACTTCATATAGGCATACATTTCAAGGAGATATCTGTTAATAAGTGTCACTGTTCAAGACTAATCAGCAGTGAAATTCAACAATGGGAAAGCGACGCGCGAAAATAAATGCGCACTTCTAGATAGTACCGCCTTGATAATTATCATGGGAGAGATGAGGATACACCCCCGGATGCTTATCCTTGTATATTTTATCCTTCACATTCACAGTTCCTGTACGATACTTAAAAGGATATCTTCTTCCACACATACACCCACGACGTCAGGGGAACGGGGCTTGTTCCTCTATATATTGTCATCCCCGAGTGGAGGACTACATTCTGGATGATAAGAATTACGATCATTTCAGCTATTCTCAGTGTTCTTAATATACTACATTACATAATAGGCGAAATGGTTCATGCCCTTTACATTCTCCGTCAACTTTTCAAATCGATATTTGACACAAAGACGCCGTAATTCTAATCCAGAAAAGGGATATCCATGTTGATAAAAATATTATACCTAGCCATATTCATGGACGCCGTAATTGTTCTCATCCTTCACTAGGGCGTTATCCTTCTTTATTACGCATACATTTCGTATTAAGAAGCTGAGTGTTGCCTGACCTTTGATTTTATGAAGTATTATTATAATGCATAAACGGCTTCTTACTATCCATCCCTAGCTTTGTAATAGTAACACATCTTCATTAAAAAATGAATTGTGTCCTGGTGGCCATCATGCAGAATTCCTCTCAAGCATATTTTTCTATTGCGAGATTCCTTTTCGACCCTGATATGAGGTAAAGAAACACAAAGATAATGCTAACAGAAATTACGAAAAGGGAACGACAATGAAGAACAACAGAGAGGCGTTACTGCCTCGCGCCAGGCGAATTTAGTGAAGCATAACTTAAATAGCCCCCTCAGCAGAAATCTTCTAAAAGAGGCATTACAGAATTGACCATGTCACGTGTTTGGGGAAGATTGAAAGTATAAGGTCAAATTGGCATATTAATGAAACAAAAACAAAAATAATGCTAACAGAAATTACGAAAAGGGAAG